ATAGTCGTCAGTGAATTCAAAATTTTTTAATATTCGAAATATTTTAAACTGTTTTTAATATTCCAGAAGGTTCGCCATATTGCGAATTCATGCGCCGTTAAAGAAACGAAAAATTCAATGGAAAATTCAAATTACAGTTTTCTTTTTTTCAGTATCAAATCAGAATGTAATAATTTTCTTATGAAAACATTATGCAAAACTGAAAATGACGATGCTATGAACGAAATCAAATTTAATCAGATTTGCAAGAAAAAGAATAATCTAAACTACAGAACTACGGTAGCGCAGAGTTTTAAAAAAATCGTTTTTATTTTCTTACCTTTATCGATATCGATGTCAACGTCGACACTTTGTCGTGAAGTTCTTTAGCGGTGTATAGCGAGTTATAATCGGCATAAATTTATCTGCAACAAACAGAATTTCACTCTTTTCACCAACTGGAAGTTGAGAATTTCTCAACTATCAACTCGCGCGTCTGTAGTTTCGAGTACAAATTTCTTTCATTATATTTGCGTATTTCGCGAATAAAAACAAAAAAAAAAGAAAATGCGTGAATAAACTATTCTCACAGAAATTCTACTAATTCAAAGCAGATCTAGAGAAAAGAAATACATCTAAATCACCGAAATACTATACATAAGTTTTCGCGTCTCATCGATCGAAGAAGCTATGATCCCGAAAATTAACTTTTTATCAAGAAAAATCATTAATTTGTCCTGCAAATTATACTTTTTTCACAAGAAAAGTCGTTTGTTCGTCAACTATACCTGGACTTCGGTCAGATCACTTGAATTTTTCACTTGAATTTAAGAAAAAAAAAAAGAGCTGGAACACGACGTGAACCATAATGAACGACGATCTCGACTGTAATACAACCGCCAATTACCCTTGCTAATGTACCGGCAAGAGTACTACGGTGGTCATAACCTTCCAATTTTGCAACTATGTTATCGAAATTAATCTTTCCTTATACAATTCTTTTTATTTTGAAATAAAGTGTTAATCGTGTCTAGATTTCTAAATGACTAACTTTTTAAATTCCTCTTGTATTTCTTATTTTACAATTAAACTATTGCTTAGGTAACATCACCAATTTGACTAGTATCTAGTAATAGAACCTTCTTTTTTGAAAAGCTTGTTTATGATTGGTTAACCATGATTACTGGTGGAGAACACTAGTTGGACGCTATTTCCTATTTCTTCTTTCTTCTAGAATAGCTGAAACGGAAAATTCGTTGAAATCGACCATTTTTGCAATACGGTTTCGCGCGTAGTGTCGGTGAAATTGAAATTTCTAATATATCAAGAGAAATATTGCAAAATTCGTTTCGCAAAAAAATCCACTCGCACTTCTCTTCTTTTACAAGTAATCTTTTATTATTCTTCACATTTTATTACATTTTAAATATGAAAATGTGGCAAAACGTTAATCAACATTTCGGAACATTTTGCTAATTGTCGTTTGTTTAAAACGATCTAAGAAAGAAAACGTAGAAAATATATTTCTTCCATTTAACAAAGTCGGTCGAACATATTTTGCCACAATTTCGGCCAATATACGAAATATTATTATAAATTATTTGCAAGTAAATTTTACAAAATATATGCAAGTACCTAATATGGCGGGAGATTGAAATTATAAAAAATTGTAAAAAATTATTTCCTAACCAATATATTATTTAACAGATTTTCAAGTCGCCTGAAGAAATAGCAAAAATTAAAACCGATGGATGTCAAGCGTTGTTCTACGATATTTCCGATAAATTTATTCGAAACAAAACGAGCAAGCAGGTTATCGTTCGGTGAGTCTTTATTTCCACAAAAAGATCCGTATTCATATCTCGAAACCGATAATCCGTTTCATGTATTAATTATCGAAAGCAAAAATGGAAGAATTTTGCAATATTAAAAAGGATAGAAAATGGAAAAAATAAAAATTATACTTATCATTATTATATAATAATTTATTTAACTAATAACTAATAGTCATTTTTTGTTATTAATTTTTTATTACAATTTTTTCATATTTTCTTTGAATAAAATGATAATTTTATTGTCTAATTGCAATATTGTAAAGATGGCAGAAATTTTTCAAGTAGAAAAGAAAATGAAAATTTATGAAACTTATCTCAAATTTTATTATATTTATTATATTCATTTTCCCAATAAAATTCATTTTTCCAATAAAATTGGTTTAAAATTGGCCACATAAAAAGTTACGTTAAATCAATATATCAAGTGATATATTGTACAAATAAATCCAAAGTAAATTCAACGAAAAAGTTTCTTCAATTAAAAACAAATCTCATAAGTAGCAATTATTATTTTTATTATTAATCATCTTTTACGTGACATTTATTCATAGAAATCCATATTTACCAAAAAAATTGTTTAGTAACCGTATTTCAAATAAACGTATTTTTTTCCCAATGTTAAACTATTATTTGAAAAGATAAGCACTTTTGGAAATTAAACATAGATAATAGATTAAGAATATTTATACATTATTAAAAAATATAGTTTATTAATTATTTAGGAAAAATTCATATTAAAAAGCAAAAAGAGATTTTTTAGTAAATGAATAATTGTATATTAATCGAAATTTAGAATTGTTTCTTTATTTCTCGTTTCTTTATTCTCTCGTTTCTTATCTTTTCAAGTAAAATCATTCTAATATATGCAATTTTTTATTTCAATACAATTAACAGATTACATTAATTTATATTAATCCATGTTAATTAATAATATAGAACTCCTTCACCATTCACCAAGGTAAGACAAATGAAAGATATAAAATGAAATCTTCGTTTTTTATCTACATTTTTAACTATGAATTAATTTATGTAACAATTTCTTAGTAAGAGAGGAATTTTATATTTAACAAAAACAGAGAATGATTATCTTGCTAATTGATTCAATTGGCTTTCTCTGTGTGCTTCAACCGATACTGTCATTTTTCGTTTTAGATTTAATTCATATCATAAAGCCTGGCAATAAATTAAATATATATAATTAATATAAGTAAACGTTATCTTCGCGCGTACTGGGGACATTGCTCTCTCTTTTCATTTCACTCGCTCACTGTATATCAGAATTAGTTTGTTCAACATAGTTTGTCCGCTAGCAATTGCACCTGACCGCAGTTACTCCATTAATTGTAGTTAATTATCCGCGTTACTAATGCAAAGATTGTGCCGTCCTTTCGAAAAAAAACGTGATTGGTCTTCTGAATTAGCTGAGAGTATCGATTTTTCAAATTCGGTGATCTCCATAATAATCTTCATACGATTGATTTTCATTTATGATATTGATTTATTTTCTAATTTGCGTGCATACGGATTTCCATTGTTTTATCGATTTGTAATGTAGTGTTCATCTTCATAAATGAATTGACTCGACTGTAGGCTTTGGATAAATCCATTGATTAGGTGCATATGGTGGTCGTTGTGGTATGGGATACGCTGTTATAGCACCTGCTGGGACTGATGTCACTGATTTCGCATTTATTGCGGCTATAAACATAGCTAGGATCGCAATAAAGATAGCAACGAATCTTCTTGTTGAAATCTGGAAATAATCGCAATTTATCGTTACAAAAAATAAAATAATTTCAATTTGATTTATCGAATAATTTTGTAATTACAAAAGATAAACAATTATCGGAATATTTTTTAAAGTGCATATTACCATTATAAAAATCAACATAAAATTTTCAGACTATCTTAAATAAATTTCTCCTTTTTTTTAAAATAAATTTCACAAGTTGTTCATCTATCAAGATCTGAATATGAATAGCTGATGGTTGCAAAAACTTAGATCTTTTATACCCGAGAGGCGGATCTTTTATTTCAAGAGGTGGTTGTTGATCTAGGTCAGAGGTCTGTCACATGGCAATAATACCCGTATGAACAAAACATCTGCTAATTGTCATTCATACTTGCTTTTCTGTTTATCAAATTTTCGAAATACCACTTTCAGAAAATCTAGCGGTATAGCATTAAACATACACATGTAGCATTATTTTCAATGAAATTGTATAATATCAATTATCGACATTTATAATTTAAATTATAAATTATAACATTATACATTAGATTGATATTTCAGCAAGAATAAATCATTGAAATTCTTAAAAATCTATCATTATAAATTTCGAAAATTGTGCATTGATCATTTTGATTAATCTAATAATATTGAATTGTTTCTTGAGTGAAAATTAAGCTGTGATTTTCAAACGTTCGAAAAGATTCAGTGAAACAATACAAAGGCAATATTTACCTTCTCGAAAAAGAAACTTTTAGTCTTGAGATTGTTATCTCCCCTGTTATGGTTTCAAATTACATCGTTCGACAGTTGAACGTTTAATTTTAGTTTGTTCCCAGATCTTATTCACATAGCATTCTGCACACATTTCTGATGTCAAGTTTTTTCTTCAAAAATATTTCTTTGTTAACATTAAAATTTTTAGATTTCGACAGGTTTTATTAAATTTGTGATAAAATCGAGATAGAAATTGCATTAGCGAAATATATGGTATAACTTTTTTTTTTTATGAAAGAAATTTTTAATTTTAATTTAGCATAATTGGAATAATTGCAAAATAATCACGGATCTTTCATTTTTTAATTTGAATTAATTTTTTATAAAGATAATTTATTAATTTTGAAAAGAAGAGTATTTATGAAAAATATACTAGGTCATCGACGAATTGAATTAAAAGTAATTCTTAAGATTTGCAGGAATTTCGGAATTTTCATTTTTAAAAGTAAAAATACGACATATTTTAAAATAAGGAATTAAAAAATGTATTTAATTATGTATTTATTAATACATTTATTATAGACACGTAATGAATCATAATTAACTTCTTGAAAGTTGGACACAATATGAATTCACCAAATTATCGATTATTGGCATATAATTAAAAAAGAAAAGAATATATGTTGAAATGAGATATTACTAGACATATTACTAATCAATCAAAATGCACGTTTGTTTTCTGCTATTAGTCATTAATTTCATTATAGAATCAGTGACTCATTTTAGTCTGACGCAAAGAGAAAACCAATTCCAATTAATTCTACGTCATTAATTAATCTGTGAGAGAAAAGGACATATTGTGACGCATGTACAAGAAGTTATATATGTACAATTTTATTAAAATTTCCCATATATACTAAAATCTTATGTACAATTCATGCCATATTGTCGTGTAATGCTACAATATTAATCATTAGATTGTGGATATTTATGTAAATTTATATTTTTATGGAATATACCCCAGTTATTGTGTCATGATAAAAAAAAACTCACTCATTATTATTAAATATAATTAGGAAGTTATAAAGAAGCAAATAATTGAATATAGGAAATATACACAGCAGATTGGAAATTTTGAATGATCATAATTTTTTAAATTATACAGATAAATAAAAGTCAATGTTTGTATTATGCATAAGAAACACCTCACTACATAAAAGAGAAGAATAATAAAATACCTTGCATTTTCTTATTAATAATACTAGTAATCATACCTTTTATTATTGAATAATATTTTGGACTAATATTTTATATAAATATCGACCTCTAACAGAAATAGATCTAAAATAGAAATAGATTTTAGTATAAAATAGATAAAATAGATAAAAATATTGAGCCCAATTTTCAACTGCTTCTGCAACTTTTCACAACTTTAAACTTTAAATTTCTTTCTTTAAGTATCTTTAGATTTGTTTGTAAGCATAAATATCAACAATCTATTAATTGTATGTCTTAAAGAATTAAAAGACTAAAATTAGGTTTATGTGAAAGAAATTCAGCTTCTTTTTTTTTTTCCAAAGTCTATCTTTTTCTTATTGGCTCCAAAGTAGAAGCAGATATTGATGAATAGTCATTTTCATTATCGATGTACTGTGTGTTTTCTAGATGCCTTTGAGTTCTTGTAGAAAAATGAATTATTCTGAAACATAATTAATGTTGAATAAATATGTTTGTCTAATAGTCTGACTGTCTATGTCTTTATAAATTTTGCATACTCACAGAATAAGGAATAGAACAGATACTTGAGTGGCAAAAGTCAACCAATAGATTGAGTTAGGTGCTGAGTTTATAGTTGCATTGTATAGTTGAGAATATAATACGCCGCTGAACAAAGGTACTGCATTATCACAGACTGATAGCATGGCAAATACTTTTCCTATTATTACAAGAATTCAGTAATATTAATATAAGTATGATTAATATTTGATTAAATACAGAATTATTATACATTGCATGAAATTATAAAATGTAAAACTTAAAATATTTTGCATGAAATTATTAATGCAATGTAGAAAAATATAATTTAATTAAAAATTGTAATTGTTCAGAAAGATATAATTTAAATATCAATATGTTTGTATACCGCGTTCCTCCGTAGAAACGAGTTTTGAAGTCATTGACCTCAGAACTGGTGCCACTATTGGTCCAAGAGCAGCTAAACCAGCACCTAAAATTATAAAATATTGTTATTGTTATTTTTAAATCTAATTTCTAAAATTCTTTGTTATATGAAAAGTTTTTAAAAAATATTAGAAAAGAATATAAGAAAAACACAACTACGTATATAAGTATGAATATTTTTCATTTCTAATTACCAACATAGAATAATTTCGATATTTTGGCTAAGATGAATATTACTCTTCCGGAAGCGTGAGAAATTGCACCAATAGCTACTATTATAGTGTCCCTCATTCCCATCAATTTACTCATTATTGGAATGCCGATTAGCATCGCTGAAATAAAGATAATTACGCCAATGTATTTCCAGTGTCGTGATTATTTAATAAGTGTTTCTCACAAGAAGGCTACTCTCTCAGTCAGTGAAAGTTCTTCTCTAATAGAGAATTCTTCCTTTCACTGAGACAGAAAATATTTGCTAAGACAAATTATGATAATTATAATAATTTCTAGATTCTAGCTGCGAGTTCTTCGGATATTTTCTGTTTTTATTTTTCTTTTCTTTTAGCTATAAAATTCTTATTTTAATATAAGAGTAGAAGAATTTCTAGAATAATTTTTTTCATAAAAATTTTCTTCATACCATATCTTTCTTATAACTTTTCTCAATTGCAATTGTTTTAAAATAGATTGCTGGATTCCAATTTTCATTAATAATTTTGTATAGAGAGCATTAATACTTTTTTACAAAATAAATTTCATTGTAACTGACCTATAACAAAAGTAGTTGACTGGAATGTTCTGAAATTGCTGAATGTGGTTACGTTCCACTTGAATTTCAATTGTGTATATAAGAAACTCATAAGTTTCTCGTCTCTTTGGAAAGTATATAGCATCATGATGATCAGCAAAAGCCACAGGTGAAGCTTTCCATGATTTGGCCTGCTCTTGGTCATTGTTTTGAAGGTTGCCACTACGTGCTTTTTATCAAAAAAGTCAGTTAACAAGTTAGTACCTACTAACGACTGTTGTTGTGACAACGTTTGCCACTTTAGTCTTATCAATGAATACACCATGGCTAAAACTAGTAAAATGGTATTTATGGTGAACATTATAGTGTAAGATGATTTGACAACATTGGTATAGAGATAGGAACCCAAAGCCACACCTAAAATAAAAAATGAATTATTTATACCTCTCTCTCTTTTTAACAATATCTTAATTTTCCATGTTTTGTATATTATGTGCATTCTTCACTAGAAATTTTCCAATATTAAATAAACTATAGAATTTTATTTACCAGTGGGCATAGTACTGAGGTAAACAACATCTAAGATGGTAATCCTTAAGGTTCTTTGTTCAACAGATGATATGTCTGATATGTATGCGAAACAGCTTCCAAAAATGGCAACATCTCCTCCTAATATCCCCATAGGGAGGCTGGCTGAGTATACTATAGTATTTAGATTCCATGTATCAATCAAGGAATTGATCACTACCATAAAAGAGTAGATAAACTTTCCTAGTAGTCCAATAATTAGTGGCAATTTTCGACCGCGTCTGTCACTCCAGTTTCCAAAGAATAGGGCTAGTATTATGGGAACTACATGTCCTGCTATGTTATTCCATTGATGGAAATTTGAGACTGTTACCTGAAAATTTACAAATTTCAATTAGAAAATAGCCTATCACAAGCTTTCAGCAGTCAAGCTTCATTATTATGTATTCTATGAATATGATTAATGGTAAAATTTTTATATTCTTGATAAGTTGTAATTAATGCATACAAAAGCATACTAAAGAATTTGAAGATTTCAATAATTTATATAACATATACTAGTCTAATAGTAGAACTAGATATTGAAGTATTCAGTACTATATTAATCTTATTGTTAGTATCACGTTTAATAACTAATTAATAACTACATTACATTTTATCAAAAAATTTTATATTTTATTAAGATATAAAAATTATTTTTTCCCCAAAAACTAATTAAATTCTTTTGCAATGAATAAAACTCTTATTCTCCTAAAGTGCTTACATTCTTATCTTATCTTAAGTACTGGAGTAAACACTACGTTATAAAATACACCGTTAGCTTTTTTTTCTTTCTCCTTTCTCCCAATGCAACAACTCTTTTTTATTCTTTTCATCTCGACAAGATAAATCTCAAGATTTTCTCTTTTCCTTAATTTTCTCCAAACGTGATTAGATATTCTATCGATGTGATTAAACATTCTACCTGTACTTCTCTCTTTATCGTTTCGTTATCAGTCAGATTTGAACAAATTTCTTCGGAATAACCGTGATCAACTCGACACGCTTTATAGACGAAGAAAGCCTGTTCCACAACGGAAGTAATCATGTATGCCATCATATACAACCACATCGTTGGTTCTACCGATATATGCTCTATCCATTTCAAATATTTTCTCCATTTTTTGTCGCTCTTTTCACTTTCATTCTGCTCCGAATGGCACTGTACAATCTGAAAATAATGCAATCCAATTTAACGGCAAATAAGCAGAACAATAATTTAAATTAATTAATTGTAAGTTAGTTTAAATACAGACTTTCAATAGTGAAAAATGAAAATAATTTCGAATCTTTTTAAATTAAAAAAAAAAAAATGAAAATAATTTTGAATCTCATTAAATTAAAAAAAAAAAGAGATCAAGGAATAAAAACACAATTGGTTTGATTACCTCGTTGTCCATGATTACTGCTTGATTGATGATGACGTTGAATCACAAATCCGTCGACTTCGTAAATTATTTCACGATTATTTATGCATAGCGTTATGAATTCTTTGTCAAGAATCCATTTCTCCCGCTGATATCGCTTAAAAACTGCACTAGTCACAACTATTCCCCACTCTCTGTAATAATGAATACTATTTGATATCTCTTTCAAAACATTACGTAATAGCTAAATTACAAAAGAAAAAAGATTTTTGATAAAATTCTTCTGGAGAGAAATTTAATTATGTAACAGGTATCTTTTTATTAAAACAAATTCTTTGTGTAAAATTACAATAACAGAAAAAAAATTTTCTTTCCATAAAAAAAACCAATTCTGTTAATAGTAATATTTATTTCATGCTTATTATTTACAGTATAACTGTTAATTCAGCCAAATAAAATTTGAATACCTTTCTGAATATTCCAACATATCTTCGATTTGAATTGAAATCATTTTCAAACAATTATTTTCCATCGCTCAACCTTTCAAATTAAAATGTATTAATATCAGATATCATTGGCATAAAAGGATTTATTACAAATTCATTTACATCCATTTTATACTTATACTATTCTATTTTATAAGATCAAAAACAATTATAATATCTTATTCTTTAAGAAACAATATTATTGGTCTAACGAGAAATACTACTGTTCGAGTGATAAAATTGTAAATTTCTTTGATAAGGTTCGAAAAGATACATTATAAAATTTGCAAAAATATTTAAAAAGTTTTTACCGGCAGTTGGTTCATAGTAAAATTCTTTCTTATCGATACTACAAATATTCTATAAAAAGGAGATAAAAGAAAAAATAGTTTTAGTACGGACGATTATAATAATCGTAATTCGACTTACATATATAGTTTCGTCTTCACAATAATCTCACAACTCGTATATTGCAATGTTCAGAAGTTTCGAATTATTAGATTTATAGCTATATATAATTTATGACGAAAATATTCTCGAACTGCCATTTAAAAGTAATAATTAATGTAACATAATTACTTTATTTATTGAATTTTTTTTAATTATTTGGAAAAAGTTTTGTACGTTTATATATGTATATCTAACTAGATTAGATGCAATCATCACTGATTAATTTACCAGATACATACACGTGTATATAAAATTAATTTTGATTGAACGCTTTTAATTATATTCCAACATATTTTTAATTATGTTATTTTTTAATTAAATTCTAAATTATAAATTACTAAATGACACGAAATCTAATACACATATGTGAATTTAATTAATCATTACGTAAATGTTATAATAAATACAACGACGTGCAAATGATATTTACAGATACTATTACACTATTTTGTAGTCAATTTATTTTCTGAATTTTAGAATTTTATCTTTTCGCGAATTGTACGAACATGTTCTCTAATGTATCTCGTACATACATATATATATTTAAATTTACTTACCTCTCTCACATGTTAATAAACAGCAAAATCATCGGTCCAATCACTTAGACAGTGTGAGCATCACAATAATAATTACAGCGATTAATGGAAAACTGTATTTTTAGATCATTTCATAAAGATTAAGATACATTAAAAGAGAAAGAAAATAATTTACATCAAACTGGAAACAATAGTCGAACAACCACATGCAGGTTGTACGGTTACTGACCATCTGATGAAATAGCACAGTTGCCAACTTTCCAAATCTAAATCTCTGACAGTAAGGAAACTTTGTCGTCTGAAAAAAAATATAATAATTCCGAGAGCTTTTTAAAATTGAAATTCAGTTTACGTGGAATTTGGATTATGCGATAGCAAAGAATATGTTGCCTCGGATACATAATCAAAGATATGTGGTTAGTTAATCATGAAGTCGATAAAATAGAGAGCATAGACGGAATGCAGTTACCTACGGAGGATAATAATAATTAAATTACAGATTATTGCGCACTCTGCGCTAAAACAAATTTGAATTGGAGAACCACGTCAAATAAAACGATTGAAATTGATCAAGTATTGAATGCGCCAGAGATATGATTTTCGAAATCTATTACATCCAAGGTACAAAATAATTGAAACTACAGTTGATCAATTTTTTTTTAATAAAAATTTATTTCACGTTATTCCTGGCAAATCACATGGCGCAAGTAATAAGTATAGTGGACTCTAGATTTCTGCGTTTAGGCCATCAAGAAGACGAAAGACGCAGGAAGAATAACGATTATCCTCGAGACTGGCGAAAGCCAGGCGTGTTTTTCTCAAATTGACTAGTTTTCATTGCCATTATGAGACGAGTATTGCAGAAAGATTCGAGAAACAATTTTTTTCCATTCGAAAATCGGACTATAGATAGGGATTTTCGTTTCCTTTTTTTTTTTCCTTTCACTCTTTCCCTTTTTTTTTTTTTATAACACTGCTTTGAGAAAGCAGTTTCTACAATACCGGCCATAACAGCGAGAACTCGTTTGAAATAGTTTATATCTAGAAATCTAACACATCGTTAGGCTTACACACTTATAGACTTGATATGACAGATTGCAGTTTATTCTTTTAGTTTTATTTATTAAGTTACAGACGCTTCGATGCGTTCGCTATTCTTGATCAAGGAAATCAAAGTCAGTTTGGTGAGAAAGAAAAAATTTCGTTTAATACGAAATTGTATTTATTGCATTAGATATCATGTACTGATATTTGTGATTTGTTACGATAAAATATCATACTGATATTCATTGATATTTGATATCGTTAATTGACAACTGATGCTTTAATATCAAGTATCAGTTAGAAATCGTCGGAAAGTTGAATGTTATTTCAATTGAAGAGTCCGAAGGCGAAAAATTAAAGTATCAAACAGAAATAATATTGATGTTCAATTGAAATACACAATTGTGTATAAAATATATAATAGAAATTTTATATCTCATTTTATATTTCACAACGTATTTGCAGAAAGAAAAGAGAAAGGAAAATTGTGCGTTTGCGTGATTTTCAATTGACAGAGGGAAAGCTCGAAGGATAGAAAGTTAAAGACCGGTGAAGGATGATTCATCGAAGCGCCTGTAAGGTTGAACTTGGTTCGATTTATCGAACGATGGCCCGCGGTCGGTTCGATTAATACTTATCAACGGCTGGACCTGCCAGCAACATCAAAATACGTATATATTTCTTTTGCCAATAGAGAACATCGATTTACAGGCTCGCTCTATCAGCTCAAGATCAACTTCAATTGACGACTAAATTAGACTCTTTGGAAAGTTTCACATCCATCACGATAGACACTATGCACGACGATTAAATTCATTCCTAAAAGTTTCTCGTTCGCGCAGAGCCTGGTGTAATAAATGTCAGACTGCGGATTTCTGCACGTGTATGGAGAAAATTGATACATCAAAAATTGCACAGAACGTGCAAAACGAAACTATAGCGATTCGTATAATATCTCTATCGAGCTTCTGTTCTTTCTTTCTTTTTATTTTATATATATATATTTATATGTTCTCAGAAATTTCAATAAAAATCCGCAGTCTAGCTAAAGTTTGATATATACATATATGAAATGAAACCTCGATTTTATCGAATTACATGTTACATATTATTTAAATCATACATGCATTTAATTAATTCGAAACGTCCACGCAAACGACCAATTAGTCTGTTCAGTTGTGTCACCAGTGAAACTCCTCGGACACGTACTTCAATAATCAATTTGTGTATTTCAATCGTTCGTTTGATATAAACGAAATATTCCCGATAAAGAACTGCAGTTGCTTTTGATTAAAAAAAAAAAAAAAAAAAAAAAAAAAAAAAAAAAAAAAAACGAAGTTAAACAAATCAGAGTTTCGATTAATTGATCGACAGACTGCGAATACTCGTGCAATGTCGTATTTTTACTAACGAAACCGAATAAAGCAATTTCATCTTTTCATCTTTTGGATGTATCACGTGCATTCGACGCTCGAAAAATGCACGAAAAATGCGCAGTCTGTCGATATACGCGAGAAAATCACCAGATTCTAGTGATTAAAGCTATAACTTGTTGTTACTGATCGAACGATCGCACCAGGCTCCGATTTTCGATCATTCTTATTATCGACTATGCCAGAACATTGATTTCGTCGCGTGGCTTATTTCTAACTATGATACAATCTTCGTTGGGAGATTTTCCTCGGAATTGCACGACTTTTGACTCGCCCTGTACAGACGACGCAGACGCTGCGCCGCCATCCAAGCATCGAACAGTGAGACAAACAGAGAAAAAAATTTAGGCATTTCGATCGTTTTGCAACATTCTAAATCCGTAGATCGATAGATTATCCAAAACTCGTCGAAACTGAGAATTTAAAAGTGCAAATTTTGACGAACACAGCGTATTACGGATCAGAGATATGAAAAGGAGAACGTCGAAACGATCAAAAAATATTCGCCCAAGGATCTTAGATCCCCGGATTGTCAAATTAGACAATCAGAAAGTTAAGAGTCGCTTGAAGTGTGGCAGACTGAGAATAGAAAATTTCAAGAAATTTGAATTTGAATCGAAGATTCGATAATTTAACGAGTTTTAACGGAATGATAACCTACGACGAATGGTAATGAAATTTGAACGAAACACACATTTCCTATTTCATCCGTAAATTCTCAGATCGAGCGGAACTTAGAGATCTCTCGTTTTATTCACAGCGACGGAAAGAGAACTTTTTTTTTTGCTACTAAACGAAACGAAAATTCTGAAATCGTACGTACGTACAGTAACACGTTATTGACATGTAGAACACAGTTGTGGTTGCTATCGTTGCAACCATACGCGGCATTGTTTAGTCGATAGACACTATCTACTGTCAGACAGAATTATACTGTGCAGAAACGCGTGTATTTTCTCTTATCTAAAATATTTTCACAATATATATATAATTTTTATACATATACATTCTATGTATATATAGAAGATGATTCTTTTTTTATTTTTCTTACGCGTGGCTAAAAAACTCATTAGTCGACGATCAATCTCGTCGATTAATCGAGGGGGGAGGGTTAAAAAAAGAGAAATGTAAAAATAGTGAGTCTTTTTTTCTCTTTTCTTCAGACAACCGCTCTCGTTTTTCGTTCGTTTTTTTTGCCATTCGATTCATAGAAACTTGCCGTGGTCCCGTTTCGTTCTTTTTTTTCTTTTTTCTTTTTTTTTTTTTCTTCTTTTTCTCCTAACGAAATTTGAAAATAAAGAATCCAGCCCACGGTTTCGTTGTATCGAGCTCCTTCTCACACTAATCTCTCGTTATTGACTAGAAGAACTGGCCTGGGCCGACAGCCAGATATCAATTATCGAACTTTGAATTAGTTTTGCGACATCGAGTTGCATTGTATCCGTGATTCGATTTTTCTTGGTTCGATCGAAAAGTGGAATGTTAGATTATTAGAGGATTGGGGGATTTCTATTATTAAAAATTTGAAAAATTGGAAAATTCAGATACCAGATAGTTTAAAAATTAGAGAATTCGAATGTTGTATTATTGGAAAATTAGGGAATTTGAGTGTTGGATTATTGGAAAATTGGAGAATTCGAGTGTTCAATTATTCGAAAATTAGGGAATTTGAACTTTGAATTATTGGAAAATTCGGATGTTCGATTATGGAATTATTGGGAAATTCGAAAATTAAGGAACTCGAGAATTACAGGATTATTCAAAAGTCAGAAAATTGGAACACTGAATACATATTTGGCCATTCGAAGTTTCGAAACTCGGGTTACTAAAATTTCAAAAACTTGATACAACAATTCATTCAAATCGAATCGTTCAACAATCCTGCAAAGTAATAACTTTAAAAAAAATATTTACATATATTATAGATAATACCCCTCGGTGTTATTTCTCTCTCTCTCTCTCTCTCTTTTTTTTAACAACTACGAATGATATTTCCATCGCGAGAACTTAGGTACTTGTTGTCAGAGTTTGCAAATTGATATGGCTGTCAGCTTGGAAGTATTATTCCCCGGAACAGAATGGAACCAAAACAGCTAATCAGATAGAATAGCGAGATACGGCTTAAGTACAATACGAGTCAACTTGGCCCATTATGCCAGATGCTGTTAGTAGCGAGATACACGCACGCACGCACGCACGCACGCACGCACGCACGCACACATCCGAGAAAGTCTGAGTTTCAGCTTTCCACGGATTTCCTCTTTTCCAACTTACGATTACTTGACGAGTTTCAGAGATCGATATTCACCGCTGTACGGGACGGCAGAGACGATCAATCGCGAGATCGGACAAACAGGCTTGGATCCGCTTCCTCCGATTTTATTCGAATTTCCCACTATTTGTTCTGTATCATCTTCAATCCATCCCCTTCGAAGATTTTCGTTTACTCTGGTTTTTCTTGAACTTGAATTTTGAATTTAGCTTAAATTTCTTTCTCCTCGATCGCCTCGAAAGTCTTCTCAAATTTTATCACGGATTTCTTTGAATTTATTTTGGACTTTTTCCTCTTCGATCTTTGAATTTTCGTTTCCCTCAAATTCGACAATTTCGATCGGATTTCCGTGAATCCCTGGACTATTTTCCGAACAAGCTCGATGTCCTTTCATCATAATAATTCAAGAGAGTTCTACGAAAGAGTGCAGAAACCGATTGTTTCTCCCGTCCATGCAGCAAAAATTTTGATAGATACAGATCTACTTGATGCTTCAAACGGTGACGTTAGTCGAAACAGTACCGTCCAAATTGCCATTCGTCACAGAGATAATCTTCTCTTCGTTGGTATTGCTGTGGATATTATTGGTCTTGGTCGAGTCGCGGGGACCATCCAGGAAGTAGGTGACCATGCTACCTTTGCCCTTCACCTGAATGGTACCGCGGCAAGTGAGCGGATATCCTTTGGCCGCGAGGATGTCCCGAACTTCCTCTGTCACCTGAATTCCGTCCAACACCCCTGTTGACTCCATTCTCGAGGCCACGTTCACCGCGTTCCCCCAAATGTCGTACTGCGGCTTTCGGGCGCCTATCACACCGGCCACAACCTACGAATCCCACGAAATTCGTATTGAAAAATTAACATTTATTGGCTCTGTGCACTCGGGAAGGTTTGAAAAATTCAAATTGAAAGATTAATTAATTACTTAACGCGCTTGGAGATTTTCCTCTGCTGACAATTTATTCGCAGAACAGCGAGTTAAGTATTATTTCGTTGCATCGAACAAATTTAAATTAATTAATCCTCCGAACGTCCCCAGATTTTCGTCCATTGGCAATTTATTTTATATTTACGGAACAGTGAAAGTATTACCCCAAACGAAAGCAATTGAATAGCTTGAAATTGAAATTGAAAGATTATTCACATTGTAATTATATTGCAATCATTCGAGATTACAACTATAATCTTGCTTGTTTATTCAGAGATAACTTCGATTTGCAATTTATTTATTTGGCGGGCGAATTATTGCTTCAAATAAAATGGAAATCGTTGCCGACTTTTCAGAAAACGAGATATTAATTTAAATTTAATTTCGAATACGCAGTTACGAAAATTTGGAGGATTCGACGAGTCTGTTTTCTGAAGAAAAGTAAGTTTAGGGCTAACTGGCGGCCCACGGACTGACCCTTGCCCCCACTTTCCTGGTCGCTAGTGCTATCCCCTCCACTGCATCGATGGAAGAGTGGGGCTAGCGATGAGGAAAGTAGGGGCAAGAGTCCGCAAGTTGCGACAGACTCGAGTTATCCAGAACTTGATTGACGTTACCGGTCCGATATTGATGCCCACACGCAACCGGAAGTTGTTGAAGCTGTGTTCATTAACGGAGGCCAGCTGTTCGCGTATCCTGAGCGCGTAGTCGGCCATCGCTGTCACGTGTTTGTAATCTTTCATGTCGCAGGTGTTCCTCGTCAACCCTGTTCGAAAGAAATTAAGTCACGAGAAAAGACCCTTTGAAAGCTTTTGTTCTTTCTCTCATTTGAAATTCGGAAGATTCTTCTCTCTGTTGTGATTAATTTTTCTCTTTTGGAAGAAGTTCCAGTTCTTAGAAGTCTACGGTAGAGACACATTGACCTCTTCGTGTAAAAAAAAAAAAATGCGCCAAACACATTGAAATCTTTTTAATAACCAATAATAGAATAGAATAGAAACTTTCACATTTTGGTACACATAGAAATTTTCATTTCCAATAGCTAACGCTATTGAAGTTTTAATTAACGACTGATAAAGACTTTAGTGTTCTAAAAAAATTCTACATTCTAAATATTCTGTATAATAAACATTCTGTGATCTAAAAATTCTGTATCCCAAATATTCTGTATTTTACACGATAAAATTGTAGAAAATTTTCACATTTCCAATGCACACTGGAAATGCTTCAATGTCCAACTGGTGGAAACTTTCCCGTTCCAAGCAAAATCCTACATTCTAAATACTCTACATTCCGCGCGATGAGATTCAATACTTGAAAAAAACAAGTAAAAATAAATCCCCGAGGGAGTATCTTGCGAAATATCTCCGCGACTAATCCCAGAGAGTCAGTAACGAACGAGTAACAAACACTGATCAGAAGCGAAGTCAAAAAAAGAACCGACCGGACCGCTCCGAGGAGGCAACTAAATAGAAAGCACGGAATGAAAACCGGCGGTGTGTGTTTTCCCCCTCTGGGAAAGTAGAGAAAATAGGAAAATGCGAATGTGCGGGGGATGAAGGAACGAAGAATGGAGAGACGACGTGGCGAATTTTAATCAGTGTCCCGTTGAATAGCGTAATCGAGCGGAAGAGAAAGAGAGAGAGAGAGAGAGTAGAAAAAGATTGGAAGGAAGCGAAAAGTCGACCGACGGTTCTCACCGGACGCGGCCATGTACGTAGCCCCCGTGCTCTTGATCTTCTCGATGTATTTGTACGGTTCCTCGGCGAGGAGCTCGTCGAAATCGGCGATGATCTCGTTCAACAGCCTGAGACACTCGACGCCCTCGTTATTCGCCTCGAGCTCCACGTAAAACTCGGAGAAGTTTGGTATCGAGGCGAACATTATGCAAACGAAGTCGCACTGCTCGTGGTACAGTTCCTGCAATCGTTAATTTCGTGGAAGAATGTGAGGGTGTGATCCAATTAAGAACAGAGCGGGGAATTCTGTTTTTTCTTTTTTTTTTTTTTTTTTGTGAAGTAGACGCGTGATAATTGGAATTCGTATTATTCGTAATGTCAGAACTTTTTCGTATTAATATCTTAATTGTGTATTTATCAAAAAATTATTCCATTTTATACGAATTTATATTAATTTTATCATTTTAGATCTCCTTTACATCAATATTACAGTTACATATTTATTGATGAATTAATATCGCATGATTTAATTAAATATTCAATAATTTATTAGATAATTTACGTTAACTCGCAGTATCTCATTCGTGTTACGTAAATTCCTATTAAATTTTATGCTAGATCTTCTTCATATCAATATCTTGATCACATATTTATGATTTAATAGTTCATTAATAAATCAATAATTGCACAATTGTATTAATTCATATCGTGTAACTTTATATTAAATTTCATCTGTATTCTGTATCAATTCGTGTTATCCAGCTATACGTAATTATCTGCAAGTTTTATGAGATCTTTCGTCCTGTAGATAAACTAACTTATTATCGTCGATACAAATTGTCAACTTTCTTACGTCCGAGTTAACCGTTGATAAGAAGTGGGCAGCCACGTGTTCCGGAAGTATGTTCGCCAGCAGCTTTTGATTGTAGGCCTTGAGGTGCTCCATTTCTTCCTTCTCCTCCGTCGCTTGCAACTTCCACAAGAAATCCAATCTGCATTTGTCAACAAAAATGTCACTTCATACTTTCCCCCAATTCGAGATGAACATAGAACTTCGACATTTTATTTTAACTTCGACATCGTTGCAACACAGACATTCGCAATTTTCTTTTTCTTCTTTTTATAAAAAAAATCCAATCTACATTTGTCAACAAAAATGTCGTTTGCTTTTCCCAGTGCGAGAAGGGGAGGATAGATTAAACAGGAATTTCACGGAAGAAAGCAGTCTTTTCCAAAAAAGAATGTACGTCGTCGAATTTCATTGTTATTAACAACGTGGTTGCGAAAGTAAAGAGTTTTGTTTTTGATCGTTTTCACTCGGACTTGACGATTTTGTGAAATTTTATGAAAAGACGTACACGTATATTATGTTATAATAAAACGTGGCTGCTAGGTGAATTGTGTGAGGATCACACACGTTTGTGTGTGAAATCTATTACCTGTAAGTGGCTTCTGTGTGCTGGGAATGAGCGATGAGACAGGCCATAAAGAAAACCACTAAAACTCCTGCCAGCCATCTTCCAGTCAGTTCTACGTCCCTCTCCTGTATAGCTTCGTAGATACTGATGGCTAAATAACAAGCGACTACCAGACTAAGTATGGCTACTTTGAACACCGATGTTAAGATCTGGTAGACTGCGCAGGTTATCATTACTAACATCACCAGCACCGGAAACAGCTGTAACAAATAAAATTTCCCTCTCTTTTTTAGTGTGTTAGTTGAAAGTTGGAAATTTGGAAACTTGGATGTTCGATTATTGGAAACTTAGGAAATTCGAATGTTCAATTGTTGGAGAATTAGGATACTCGATTATTGAATCACTGGAGAGTTAAAAAAATTCGAATGTTGAATTATTGGAAAATTAGAAAAACTCGAATGTCGAATTATTGGAAAATTAGAAAAACTCGAATGTTGAATTATTGGAAAATTAGAAACTTCGAATGTTGAATTATTGAAAAATTCGGATACTCGATCATTGAATTATTGGAATATTAGGGAAGTTGAATGTTGAATTATTGGAGAATTAGGACACTCAATTATTGAATCACTGGAAAATTAAAAAAAATTCGAATGTTGAATTACTGGAAAATTAGCAAAATTCGAGTGTTGAATTATTGGAAAATTAGAAACTTCGAATATTGAATTATTAAAAAATTCGGATACTCGATCACTGAATTATTGGAATATTAGGGAAGTCGAATGTTGAATTATTGAAGAATTAGGACACTCGACTATTGAATCACTGGAAAATTAAAAAAAATTCGAATGTTGAATTACTGGAAAATTAGAAAAATTCGAATCTTGAATTACTGGAAAATTAGAAAAACTCGAATCTTGAATTATTGGAAAATTAGAAACTTTGAATGTTGAATTATTGAAAAATTCAGATACTCGATCATTGAATTATTGGAATATTAAGGAAGTCGAATGTTGAATTATTGGAGAATTAGGACACTCGATTATTGAATCACTGGAAAATTAAAAAAAATTCGAATGTTGAATTACTGGAAAATTAGAAAAATTCGAGTGTTGAATTTTTGGAAAATTAGAAACTTCGAATATTGAATTATTAAAAAATTCGGATACTCGATCATTGAATTATTGGAATATTAGGGAAGTCGAATGTTGAATTATTGAAGAATTAGGACACTCGACTATTGAATCACTGGAAAATTAAAAAAAATTCGAATGTTGAATTACTGGAAAATTAGAAAAATTCGAATCTTGTATTACTGGAAAATTAGAAAAACTCGAATCTTGAATTATTGGAAAATTAGAAACTTTGAATGTTGAATTATTGAAAAATTCAGATACTCGATCATTGAATTATTGGAATATTAAGGAAGTCGAATGTTGAATTATTGGAGAATTAGGACACTCGATTATTGAATCACTGGAAAATTAAAAAAATTCGAATGTTGAATTACTGGAAAATTAGAAAAATTCGAATGTTGAATTATTGGAAAATTAGAAACTTCGAATGCTGAATTATTGAAAAATTCGGATACTCGATCATTGAATTATTGGAATGTTAGGGAAGTCGAATGTTGAATTATTGGAGAATTAGAACACTCTATTATTGAAGCACTGGAAAATTTAAAAAATGCGAAATTTAAAAATGCGAATATTGAATCACTAGGAAATTAAAAAAATCCAAATATTGAATTATTGGAAAATTTCAAAAATTCGAATATTGAATTACTGGAAAATCAAATTCGAATTCGAACGTAGCGTTACTCGGGGGAAAAGAAATCCAGGAATTCGAATGCATATGAAAGCGAGATCAACCGGAATTTGGCCACGATTTTCTTTTCCAAAGAAATTCAAATAGTCGACAATGTTTCATTGTCGCGTCGGCGCAGTTCTACTCTATCTGTACATATGTATGTACGTGGGAATAATTTCAAGTCTGTCATAAGAGCCACGGCCGCAACTATATAGCATCGATCACGCTTACGTTTCCAGTTAATCTCGCGTTAATTCAAGACGGAATATCGCGTCGAGGCGGATCGAATCGATCATACACGGCACTTACGTCAGCGAAGACGATGTAATAGCAAACATCGACAGGCGCGTCGATACTCTGGAACGTCACGCTTGAATTACCTGGCGACTCGACCGACGGCGATGTCCCGTTTCCACACACGCGAATGCTCTCCAGCGTTGCCTGCAATCCAAACATTACAAAATCCATCGCTGGCCTATCGCTCTTTCGTTTTTCCCATTTTCTGTTCCATCTGTTCTTCGGGGAACGAACCGGCCATCGATCATCCGACGATGTTTCTTAAACGTCGAGCAAATTTGCTAACTTTTAGCCGAGTTAACCTCTTGCGCTGGAATGACGTGCCACGCACGTCGAGGATATTTTGTCCCAAAATTGCAATATTTTCTCAGTTTTAAGTATATTTAAGAATATAACCCAGGCAAAACAAATAATAAATTTGTTAGTCCTCAATAATTTCCACCCAGTGATATCAAAAAAGAAAACGGCGAATTATTGTATACGGTTTTGGTCACTCGTTACGGTCCGCAATCAGTTGCCAGCGCAAGTGGTTAAATCCAGTTTCTAGTACAGTTTCTGGGGGAAAAATATTAGACGAACATTGCAATTTTAATGTCTTCCGTGTTTTTTTTTTTTCAAGCAGTCAGCAAGATTGTTTTTTTTTAAACAAAGTTTAATTCATTTCAAACATATGAATAATCAATAATTATCAGTTAATAAGTATCCGTCACGAGTGATCGAGTGAATTCACTATTTACAATAGATTTAAATCACTGCAAATGATGGGCATGGTGAAACAGTGCGTCAATTGTTAAAAAAAAAATGATTAAAAATTATTCTACGCAACGTGTGAAAATTATTATCAAAATTACATTCATGATTGTAAATTTTGTATATAAAATAAAGAAATAAAATATTAATAGAAAAATATTAATAAAATATTAATAGAAACTGAAATATTAATAAATACTAATTGTGACAATAAATATTGAATTAATACTAATGACAATAACAATAAAATACTGAAATAATAAAATGCATAGGTTGGGCTAGCTTTTACACAATCTTCATGTTTTCTCGTGTCGTAATATTATAGAATAATGTCAATATATTATTTCACGACATTGGTATAATATAATTATTGTAATATAAATACTATAAATAATATAATTATTGTAATATAATAATATTACATACGTTATCGCACAATAATGTTACGAAACTAATTACGATGCAGTCATCTATCCTCTGTTAATTGCACATTATCGTTCGTTGCAAATTTCGTGTCTCGACACGGGGAATTGTCAGAAACCTAAAGACCGTCGTGTAAATTGCAAGAGAAAAGTTGCCAGCAGAATGAATCTGAAACGAGTTCGAAACACTCCCCAAACTAGTTTCAGATTAATTTCGAACGAGTTCCAAACGAATAAATTATCAACCGGTCGCGCCACGTCCGATCGATCTCCCATCACAAACGAATAAATTATTATGCCGATCGATATGCCGTCCCTTATCTATTATCTGAAATAATTATAAGCTTCGGTCGATTGTTTCGAGTGATCCTTCGTTTCGCTAAATAATCTTTTTTGACTCGATCCCGAGCAATAGATCTCCCTTCCCCACCACCCACTTATTGTCGTGGGGACAATTGGAACGAGATTTCCAGCCTCGTCGCTCTCGCGATCGTCATTATATTCGAGAATAATCGGTTTACGAATTTACGGTTTACGGTTCGAACGTGTCGCGCGCAGGACATCATCGGTCTTTATAATAAAACAGAAAATACGATTTAATATCGACACGACGAATAACACTTAACATTTGAAAGGCTTTATTTAACCATCGTTTCTTTCGTTCAAGCTCCACTTTCGAATTTTTATTTTCTACTCCACCATTGGCAGTTTGTCGAAATTCGTTTATTCCGCGCGGTCCCTTATTTTCTTTTTATCCTGGACTGTGCAATTCCGGCCCGGCTGCGAGATATATTTAAATTTATTCGCGAAATAAACTGTACCGTACGTTCGAACGATAAAAATTGCTGTTTATCCTCTCGGCAATTTTTTTGTCGTTCGATGTTTTCGAATCGGGGACTGTTGCCATAATAACAAATACAAGAACGTGGTGCCTACGGTTCGAATGTAGGCTGGAAGTGTTCGTGGAATTACCATTATAGATAAATAATTTAGTAATATATATATATATAAATAAATAATTTAATGATATATATATGTATATAATTTAATAATAATATAGCATTTGGCGTGTGGAAGTTCAGCGAAAGCGCATGATTTCCGCCTAGGTTTGGCCTTGGTCCTTGCCAATTTGGCCTTCGGTACGTCTATGCCTCGTCTTTCAAATTCGCGGCGAAATTGTGTGACGAATACGTAGTAGCACTGGCACACAAAGTATCCTCGTTCTCTGGCAACGTGTTCCCTTTTTCTTTTTTCTTTTTTTTTTTTTTCATTGTTTTTTTACTCGCGGTGTCGAATTTTTTTTAACCGTATGGAAGTGCCATCGAATACCGTGAAATTTAATATTCCGTTTTTTTTTTTTTTTATCTATTCTATTCTTTTCATTCGCGGCATCGAATCTTTCTAATTCGCGGGGAAATTGCTACCGAATACTGTGCAACTTGATATATTGTTTTTTTCAGTTTATTTCACTTTGCAGCAGTCTCAAATCTATTTAATTGGGGGGAGTGCTGTCAAACGCTATGAAATTTGAAATTTTGACGTACTTGGATTAATTAACATCAAATTTAGTATATTTGGATTATTAATATATATTTTAATATTATTATATTAATATATATATTATATGTTATTATGTATATATTAATTTTAATATAAGAATAAGATTAACATATATGTGAGTAATTAACACCGGGACTGTCGATTAAATTACAAATCTCGTGTCAGGGAAATTAGACTAATCGCAGAAATTTAGAGACTCGATTATATGAAATTTCTTCCAACGAAACGAAAGTACTTCAACTTTTACTCTACCATTAGAATCGCTCGACTAAAATATACAATTTAATCACATTACTAGACCGAAGTATGAAACTCGCATCGATGGAATTCAATTAATTGGAATAAGTTAGAAAAAAATTCGAAATAGATAAAATCCCTCGCAATAAACGAAATAAAATGATATGAAATCGGCTAAATGATATAAAATTTGAAATATTTGGACTTAATTAACAATTGGAATTACTCGATCAAATTGTATAGACTTAATTATATCGTATAACTTCTGTTAGAAGAATTGGAGTGTAAGAGAGTAAAAGAATAAAAAAAAAAAAAAAAAAAGGTTTACGATAGAGCGTGCAGGATTTCACAAGGATTTGCACAAATATTTCACGAAAAAATCACGTGAGCGTAGAGTGAACGAAGGTAAGAAGAAACCATGGATCAATGTCGTTCGTATTGTATTTCCTCCCAGATCAATTGATTTATAAATTCATCAATGATGGATGACCACTATGGCCACCGTTTGATCATACCTTACCCATTATAAATTGAATGATGATCGATGGCCATTCTTATAAATTTTTTCCCCTAACAAATACGCTTCCCCTTTCAGCGAATATCATAGCTATCGAAATTTTCGAAATAGAGGGTTATCAGACCTGCGGTTCGTGTGCACTTGAAACTACGTGACGAGAATGATAGAGAAAGCTAAATTACATGTAAAATTTGATATTCACGATCTACATATTTCGCCGATTTAATTGGTACGAATTTCAGTTTAATTGGTTCAACTTCAACTGTTGACAGCATCTCTTCTTTCCGTCTTTCCATTATCTGCGTGTGACGAAAATGATTCGAATCAGGATTTCACTTTTTATTTTCTTTTTCTTTTCTTTTCTTTTTCTGAATTTTTGTTCGAAGTTGCGAGAGTCGCGCGAGGAGGCTTCGTAAAATATGTATTGAAAATGAAATGTCTTTCGAAGCGTGGCTCTTTGAGAACTTACGCTTGTCAATTTTGAATATTCTTTTTCCCAACTGTGTTATTCTCTTTGAACGCGGGCATTATTAAAATGTTTCATTGGAATATTGGAATATTGGATTATTGAATATTGAATACTGAATGGAATCGTATATTTTTTTAATACTAATATGAATACTTAATTCTAATACTAAATCATATATATATATATATATATATATATATATATATATATATATATATATTTTTTTTTTACTGATATTTATTACATTTATGTATTTTACTCTATACATTTATAGTATTTATTCATTCAATGTTTCAATACTGGAATATATATTTAAAAACGCATATAAAGAAACGAAAGACATACAAAAATATTTCGTTGGATGTTTTATTAAAATGTTAATAAATAAATAAATTGTAATATAAAATAAAAAATATTGAAATAAATATAATAAATATCTTTTAAAAAATATTTATAATAAATAATCATTTATTATGATTAAAATATATGATTTCGAATGAATTATTCATTTGTTCGTTCATTCGATATTCCAACATAGAAGATATTCAGAAAAATATACGTATAAAAATGGAAAATTAAAAACGACAAATATAAATACGCTTTTGACACGAAATGAACTAAGACATTTAACTAGACAGTACGATTCGTTTGTATTATTCATTTATCTAATACTTAGATAACATAGAAAACATTAGGAATGACGCGTGAAATGGTGGCGATATGATTAAAAATTTCTTTTCTCTTTTTTCTCTGTAGAAAAATATCGAAAAAAGACTCTCACTGTTCCTGTATATGAAGCACTATTGTAAGATATATACAATACATGAATAATGATACAATAGTATATTGTACCTAATCTAATAATACGATAGTACATTATACCTGATCTAAACCTAATATTAAACAGTACATTGTACCTGACGTAATAATACAACAGTATATTGTATACCTGAACTGACCTGAACCTAATAATACTGTGTCGTGAGCTTACCAGTGGCGACAGAGCTGTAGCGAAAGTGAGAAACACAACGCACGTGGCCAGCACCTGGGCCATTCCTCGGTTCTCGAACACGTGCACCGCGAAATGCCGGAAACACCGTGGCACCCTCTAAAAAAAGAGGAATGAAAAAACCACGTGATGCCAGTATGTAAATTGAAAAGTTTAATTTGCCAAAAAAATTTTTTACTCCGAGTCTCTCTTTCTCTCTCTCGATTTTTTCCGAACCGAGCTGCTCAGATATTAATTCACGTGATATTCATATATTATGATCAAGGGTTTTCGACGAGCGGCCACGAATTATGCAATTGACAGGGACGAGTGTCCGAGAGACGTTAATCGATGGCCTCAGCATTGACCTGGAATCACGCCACGGATTCAAGGTTGAGAGGAAGTGGCAAAATTCCAAAGAGAGTCATTGCGATCGATTCGCTCGCGTTCGGAGATTCCGCATGATACGCGATAATCGACTCGCTGTTTTTCACGCGGATGTCGAAAATTAGACGATTGTACACAGGGTGCATTTTGTCAACGAATGAAACGAGATTGAAATGTGGCAACGAGTTCGTAAATGCTTCGTTAAAAATACGAATTATACAAATTATGAGTGGAAAAAGTGTTGGTGCATCTAATTTTCTTTTTTTTTTTTTTTTTTTGCCAATATCTGTAGAAAAATTATGTATTATCAAAATTTGTTTTCACAAATATACAAGAGTAATGTGCATAATAGCAATATATTTGTATTTATTATAATATATTTTTATATTTATATATATGTTATGATATAATATATTTATTATAATATATATTTTTATATTTATATATATATTATGATATAATTGTTATAATATATATTTTTATATTTATATATATATTATGATATAATATATATTTTTATATTTATATATATATATGTTATGATATAATATATTTGTTATAATATATATTTTTATATTTATATATATATTATAATATATTTCTATATATTTATATAAATTGTTTTAATAATTGAAATAAAAATTATGTGATAATAAATTATATAGTAATAACAGCAAATGAATTTAATTATAATTTTTATTGGAATTGAAATTAAGATAGGCTCACCTCGTTCTTCTCTGCCAGTAGAATCCCGTTGATCATGGCGATCAGCAACGTGCTCACTGTTACACACGTGTAAAAGTATCCACTCCTGGAAAATAGTATTTAATTTCAATATATATATGTATGTGTTTTTATCCTGGAAACTTTTGCTTTCAAAATTAACACAGAATCGTTTGACAATTGATACAGAACAAATTATCTTTTCGTTGCGATTTGCTCACAATTTTATCGTGCACGAATACGATTTAAAAACAATTACACGCCAGTTCAATAATTTTTGTAACTTTACACAGATTTCTCAATATCGCGTGTATTCTGTTCGTTTGTCGCGTCGTTGCATCTTTTCTACGTGCACGCAATGTGAAATTCGCAGTCTGTTTGAAAACCAGTTTCAATTCAGAATTTATCGTGAACAGCTTTTTTTTTTTCGAAGTTAAAAATATCGCTCGTTCGACTCGAATGTAAAACTTAGAATCCTTTTAATTTAATTCCTACGAGCTTTTAATGAACGATCAAGTCCATTTCTTTTTCTTTTTTTTTTTTCCTCTTTTTAATGCGAGCCGAACGCAATGTAAAAATAAAAAAGAAGAGCGGATCGGTTTAATTAAGAGAACGAGAGACTTACCCGTGCAGAGTGATCGCTATCGCGATCACGACGACCACGTAGACGAAACCAGAGCAGACGAAGTATGCCGAGAGCATTCTGTCCCTTTCCCGCGAGTACTGCAACACACGGTTCGAAAGATTCATTTCGTTTTTTTTTTTCAAAATTTGACGAACACGAGAGAGAAAATGAACGAAATAACGCGAAGCATAGTTCATTCGGCGAAACAGCCGAATTTCACGAAGAATTGTTGTTCGCGAAAAGTAAATTTTGGAAACTTGTCGTTAGGGAAAATATTCAAATAGAAGTTGGGTTATAAATAAAGGATGTAAAAAGTAAATTTCGAAGTTGAGATTGAGAGAAGAGATTTCCCCAGAGAGATTTACCTTCTCTTCGATGTTGGACAAACGGAAAGTGAGAATAAAGGGGGTGCAATACTCGGCTCTTAATCGATCTATACTCCTGGCGTCGATTGCCCTCATCAGGTACTCGTTCACCTCGTCCTCGGGGTCCTTCTTCGTCTCTGTCGTCTCGCCAAACCCTAATCTATTGCAGAATCGATCCGGGGAATTCCACATGAAGGACGAGCATTTCAACGATAAAATATATCGAAATGTAACGGAAACAAAGATTCCAGACAGGACAATATAAATTACACGCGGTACAAACGAATTTCCACGATTTACAAAGTGTAAAACTTCACTTTGAGTTGCTTTATTTTATTTTATTTCAGACTGAAATAGGATTTATAAATAATTTACAAAAAAAAAAAAAAAAAAAAATTCCAATTTAACCACTTGCGCCGGCAAACTGACTGCGGACCATAACGAGCGACCGAACCGTATACAGCAATTCGTCGCTTTCTCTTTGAACTCGTCGGTACGATATCGCTGGACAGAAATTGTCGAGAAGTGACAAACTTATTATTTGCTTTGCCTAATTTGCTTTTTACTTAAATACACTGAAAACTGAGAAAATATTGCAACTATTGGGACAAAGAAAGCGCCAAGTTTCAGAAAAATTGCGACGAATTCAATATTTCGTGTTTCATGATTTGAAAGTCCGAGGAGATTCGCGTAAACGGAGGAGAAGAAATAGGAAAGAGAAGAAGAAAAATGAGTGATAAGAGAAAAAGAGAGAGAATCGGTTACTTGTTCTGTTTCCCGTGTTGAGATCCGTGTCCCATTACCCTCATCTCTTTCGACACGTTCCCATTTGCTGGCAAACCCTTCCTCAGTCCAGAGGAGGGCAAGTTGCCCTTACACGTGTCCCCAGGGACTATTAGGTACGTTTTGATATTATGCTCCTTTAGATACGCGTTCCTCTCGCCCCCGTGACCCTCTTCCACTTCGTAGAACCCATCGAGACAGTCGAGTGTCTCTTTCGTGATATGCACTCGTCTGTAAATAAATAATATTATCGTCACGAATGATCGTTACAGTTCAATCGCAATTGATCGCGAGATTGTTTCGATATTAGTATCGTTTAATTAGCGGCGAGTGTAGTTTTTCCTTCCGGTTAATTAATTTTAACGACAGTATTGCAAAATAATGTGTTTCAATTTCTTGGAAAACTTTTCAGGCTTCCCTCTTCAATGCAAAATAGCTCAATGTAAAATAGCTGAAAATCGTGAAATTTTTATTAACGACTTTCCTACACAAAAGAGCTTTCTTTTAATATATATATTTAGAAAATTATATATATTTTAATTATACATATATATATTATAATTATATTGTAATTACACAATTTATATATATTTAATATATATTTAAAAAATTTATATATATTTAATATATATTTAAAAACAGCTTCCTTTTTATATATATTTAGAAAATTATATATATTTTATTTATACATATTTATATATATTATAGTTATAATTATATATATTTATATATACTATAATTATAGTTATGCATATTTATATATATTTAATATATATTTAAAAAGAGCTTTCTTTTAATATATATTTAGAAAATTATATATATTTTAATTATACATATTTATATATATTATAATTATATTATAATTATACATATTTATATATATTTAATATATATTTAAAAAATTATATATATTTATATATATATTGTAATTATAATTACACATATTTATATATATTCAATATACATTTAAAAATATATATATATATATTTTCGCGAGTAATATTCAGTGAAAGAAGGAAATGTCCTACACTTCGCGCATGTAGGATTTCATCAAGTTTCACGGGCGGAAATTCAAGATTTTCTCATCGAACCGCTTCGAATTTTTTTGCTTTTTTCGCATTAAAGATTCATCGAATTTTCCTGGAGTGACTTCTCTGTCGAGAATATGTACGTGTATACTCTAAAGTGGGGGCAGGAGGAGGAGGAGGAGGAGGAGAAGGAAAAGGAATGATGAGAACGCGTCAGAGATTTATTTCTTGGCTGAGCGTTCAGCTTGTCATTTGAAAATTTCACCATGAAAGAGGGAAATGGGGTCGAAACTCACCCCGGTATCCCGCCGCTCTCCATGTGGTTGGCCAGGGTGACGTCGTTGCTCCAGACGTCGAATTGCCATTTCCTCAGACCGAGAACCCCGCAATGAACTCTGCCCGTGTGTATTCCTACTCTCATGTTCACGTTCACCGCGCCCACTTCTCGATACAACCTAGCAACGTCGAACAAATGTATTAACTACCGACTTGAAGAACGTTTGCAACAGAATGAAGACCTTTCACGTGTTTATATTTATATTTTGAAAAAGATCAGTGCCACTTCCAAAAATACGCCGTTTTTTTTTGTGAAAAAGATTATTCAATTCTTATTTTATTAAAAATTTAACAGAAATTGATCGCGACTAATTCTTTTATTCTACTGAAATTATCCTGACGAAACGATCAATCGTTCCATCAGAATTGTCGTTCTATTAAGAATGAACCAGTGTGACATTTTTTTTTTTGTTAACAGCGTTTTGTTAAAGTTATTCCATTGAATTTTCATCGGCCCATTAAAATGATTCTGTCAAAAATTAATTGGTCACTTTGATCACGCTCCAGTATCAATCGTTTGCTTTAGAAATTTCGAACTTTCATGGGTTAAATGTGACATGACTATCTCGAAATTATTAACTTGTTCGACTGTTAAATCATTGATGTCTTAATACTTGGTAACAACGATAAAAAGGTTAGCACGCGAGAAGTTGCAAATTGATCAGTTTGATTACTCTGATAACTCGTTGAAACGAGAAATTCTGGCGGTGAATTAATAATTCAGTTACTTCGTTGAAGTATGTAAATTAAAAATTCTCTCTCATATCCCGGTTATATTCTGATTACTTTTTTGTCAGTTGAAAATTAGATATTCTTCAGAAGTTACAGCTACGTGCGTGTGACTAAAACTTTCTTGAATCCTTCGCTTCGTGACTACAGGCAGTTTCAAGTTATGCGTGTGTGTCTTGGAGTCATTTCATATAGGAAATGGCGGTGCAGGAAGAGGTTAGACAGAAGATCAAAAAGCCGGAAACAAAGTAAACGAGTCAGAGTAGCCGAGACAGGGATTCTCGTTACGAGTCCGCGTCTGAAAAACATCGAGCCTCGTTAAACAAGTGATTATCTTCGAGAATAAAACGCTACTCGCAATTGTGAGCGCAGAAACGGGTACATTCACTCTTGAGAATTTTCTAATAACGATTTAAGTCGTAACTTTTAAAGAAGGAAGAAAAATTAAAAAAAAAGAGCTATAGATATTGCAGCTGTAAATGTTTACGACTTAATTGTAGTTAAACCAGTTAAACGTTTCGTAAAAAAATGTACAGGGTGTTGCATAAATTGTATCACATTTCTACTATTCCTTATATTTCGTTAACCAGTTTTGAAATTTAATATTCAAATATACATTGAATTTGATTCAGAGCAAGGTTATTAATAAATTGGAGTTGAAAGTGGAATTAACAATTTTAGTGTTAGTAACGAACATTCCATCGTGTTAAATTAACCACTTGCGCGACTGATTGCGGACCGTAACGAGTGACCGAACCGTATACAGTAAATTCAATTCGCTTTCTTTTTGAACTCGCCGGTATGACATCACTGGGATAGAAATGATTGAGATGTAGCAGATTTATTATTTCTGTTGCCTATTTTAAATATACTTAAAAAAAACTGAGAAAATATTAGAATTTTGGGGCAAAAAATTCTCGACGTGCGTGGCAAGAGGTTAATGAAAAAAGAAAAAGAAGAAAAGGGCAAAGTTATAAAAATATTGCACGCGTCGGGAAATTAACAGGGCAGAAGGACTCACGTGATGGCGCTGATCATGTCCAAACCCATTTCCACGCAGCAGCGAGCGTGATCCGGCCTCGGTTCCGGAAGTCCAGAGACACAGTAATAGCAGTCGCCGAGCAGTTTGATGCGAAGGCAATGATGTTCGGTCGCCAGTGTGTCGAAGCTAACGCGATAGAGAATAAGATTCGAGAATCTCTTTCGACGATCGCATTTCAGGAAAATTTCGGATTAAATTTTAGCATTTTAGAACTTCTCTCAGAAAAATCGACAATCCACACTGCACAGGTATAGTACAGTTTTATACGCGTTATTTACACAAGAAACCTCGTCGCAACGAGAAAATAGAAAAATAAAATTCTCTTTTTGTTTGCAAAGAACCAAATAATCAAATTTCAATAAAATTTGGTAGTTTAAAAAAATGGGATACTAACCAAGCGAACAACTTGTTCAAAAGTCTGACGACCTCCTCGGCAGTGCACTGATCCGACAGCGAAGTGAATCCGCAGATATCGGCGAACAGAATGCTGGAAAGTGTGAATTTTGTTAGAAAACAATCGATATTTTTACCACTCGGTTGTTATTAAGCCACCAGCGTGTTAATTGGAATTCGTTAGCAGGGGCTCGTCGCGCGACCTAACGAGCCTCGACTGGCAGATCCATACGCGTTATACTACCACACGTAGTATGACGGACACGCGTGTCAGCCAGATGCATAATGCAGTCCGGTGTTCAGCTGTTTCGCCTCACTGAATTCACTCAGTCGCAATTATTCATCGAGGTACGCGTGTCCGTTAAGCCTGACATTTTGTTAGAGATCTAGCAGATCCAGACGAATGATCGTGCAATAATCTAGAGTTTCTGGTGTTTCTTTGATTGCTTTTCATCCGAGTAGCAACGAGCTACTGAAATACATTCTTGTTTCGTACGATTAAATATTCTAACTATTTGCAAACACATCGCAATTTTTTTTTTTTTTTTTTTATTAATTAATTAATTTAGGGATAAGTGTACTGGGTCCACTGTTAGTAGAATATGATTAGATTGCTCAGACAGAGGTCTCTCCTTGGAGATCTAGTAGAATGTGATTGCTCCTCACAGACACATGTGTTCTTTTTCAACGATAATAAATAATTTGATTAATCCATTTTTTTATCTAAATGATTAAAAATCGAATATAGTGGTATCTGACTGTGATACAGTAGAACTTGCTCGACTCTTCTGTTTCATTTTAATTAATTTAGTAGACCCTGTTCTTGAGGTACAGTAGAATGTGACTCGNTTTAATTAATTAATTTAGGGATAAGTGTACTGGGTCCACTGTTAGTAGAATGTGATTGGATTGCTCAGACAGAGGTCTCTCATTGGAGATCTAGTAGAATGTGATTGCTCCTCACAGACACATGTGTTCTTTTTCAACGATAATAAATAATTTGATTAATCCATTTTTTTATCTAAATGATTAAAAATCGAATATAGTGGTATCTGACTGTGATACAGTAGAACTTGCTCGACTCTTCTGTTTCATTTTAATTAATTTAGTAGACCCTGTTCTTGAGGTACAGTAGAATGTGACTCGATTTGCAAACACATCACTATTTTTTTTTTTTTTTTTAATTAATTAATTTAGGGATAAGTGTACTGGGTCCACTGTTAGTAGAATGTGATTGGATTGCTCAGACAGAGGTCTCTCCTTGGAGATCTAGTAGAATGTGATTGCTCCTCACAGACACATGTGCTCTTTTTCAACGATAATAAATAATTTGATTAATCCATTTTTTTTATCTAAATGATTAAAAATCGAATATAGTGGTATCTGACTGTGATACAGTAGAACTTGATCGACTCTTCTGTTTCATTTTAATTAATTTAGCAGGCCCTCTTCTTGAGCTACAGTAGAATGTGACTCGACTACGCAACTTGACGATAGATCATCGCAATGGATTCTCGTCTTGATTAAATAATAAATACAATAATCTAGATTTCTACAGACACGTTCACACCATTTTTCATCTTTATCTTTATTTTAATTGATTCGACAGCAATACAATGATCCAGCCACGATCGATCTCTACGAACAACGTTACTTTCTTCGTCTCGCTACGAATAATCCTGCAATGATCTTACGATCTGAACGTTTCGGAAAACGTTGTCACGAAGTTTTTCCCAGCTGGGAAGTATCATCGTCGCGAGACGAACGCTCACCTGACGTTCTCGTGCCTTTGAATGTAAATTTTGTGAAACATAGTATCCTTGGGCTTGCCGGCGATGTCGGCTTTCATCTCCATGGCTACGTGACGTGGCAGCACGCTCAATAGAAGCCGTTCCTGAAAAGAGAAACAAAAATCACGGAAAATTCGTTGTCGCCGGTTGTGTGCGGCATCGTCTACCTGGCGTTCGAACGAGATATCAGGGATGGGAGGGGGTGGAGTTAGGCGGTTGGAGGAACAAGGGAAATGCAATTTCCTTGCATCGCGCGGGAATTCATCGCCCCTGTCCTTGCATACTTCGCGGGAATATATTTTAAAGTTAATAGACTCCAGCCATTTCTTTCCAATCTTCAACGCCTGTTGAAGCATATTTTTGGCCAGGTGTGTTTTTTCATAATGCGAAACAAAGACGAAATTTTCTATACATTGTAGAAGAAGATCATTTTATTTAAGACATCACGTCGTGAATTTGTTCGAGAGAGAGAGAGAGAGAGAGAGAGAGAATCACAAGTGATTAATTAAAATCTCCTTTGATGATGGCAAAATTCGTTCCTTGGAGTTTGCCTTCGAAATTTCCTTCTTTGGAATTTGCTCTTTCCAAGAAGTTTCCTTCTGTAGAAAATACAGAAATTATTATTGCATTTTGATAATACAGAAATGCTACCGGAATTACTCGCGATTTATAAAAAAAATTGTAATAATACGACAATTACTTTCTACGCAGAAGTCTGCAAATAATCGCAAATCTTGCATATCCCCTTGTTGGAATCTTCTTCTTGTCGAAAGAGTTTGACAAATTTTGGCAAACGAGATTCGTATTTAAGATCATCGAGCGATGCGTTCTAGACTAAGCATTTCGTTGTTCGTTGTAATTCCATTGGAAGGCAGAGAGAATACAGCTGATTCGACATTTTGATTTGTCAGTATTAGCCGGAACCGTTTTGAATACCCCTTGGTATTCCTAGTCGGTTAATTAACCGTGTTACGTCGGAAACTTGCGGGGCAAGTCTAATAAATTTCTGCATCCCAGATATCGTTCGCCTAATCACTCCGTCAATGGAACCTCCGAGCCAGAATTAAACATCTTAAATCCGACTTCTCCACTTTCAATTGTTCCGCCTCTCATTTTCTAGATTCGAATATTAGCAACTAATTGAAAAAAAAAAACTTGTGAATTACAAGAAATTAATAATTATCGACTTTAATTAATTTATTAAGTATTTATTAAATTAATCAATAATTCGTGGAAAAAACTATTTCACAATTTCCCGTCGAAGTTTCTGCTCATTATATTCTCAAAAGTCCGTATTTTCAATTGTATTCTCAAAAGCATGGATTCACACGGAACGGACGCAGTCTGTTAATAATATTTGTTTCATAGTTGATCGAATGATCCCTCGGCTAGATGCACATTCTCTCTCGTATAGCAGGCGATTCTCCGAGCCCCGTCGATTTATCTCAGTCGGTAGTGTTGCATACTATGAAATATTCAGGTCTGATCGTTACCGTGCGGCTTTGGTTTCCCCTGTTATCAGACGCGCGCGGCACACGATACGTGCCGTAGAATTTGAAATTACAGCTGCCCTTTGCCGCGACTAATTTGACGCGCCGGATAAATCGATCAGTAGCTCGACGCACAACAGGTTGCACGCACCTCTGCTGCGTCACGTGCCATCCACTTGTCGTTCGTGATCGGGCAATAGAGGACGTCTCTTTATTACACATCGCCTATTTCAGGTCACGTAGACCTAAATGTCGCCTTAATTTCGCCTCTTTCTACCGAACGCTATATTGGATTTCGAGAGACTTTTCATTTGTTGACTTCATCGATCAATGTTTCGGGAGGGGGGAGGGGGGAGGGGGGAGAGGGGATGTTTGAAATTCCCTAGGGGATATTCTTTTTAAAGCTATATACATGCTCGAAAGTGAGTTGATAGCTCTTAGGGATTTAACTTTAGAAATAAAACACAACAGCAAAGAATTATTCTTAACAGAGCGTCGATTAATTTCGCATCTTTCTCTTGGCGCTATATTGAATTTGGCGAGACTTTTCATTTGTCTTCATCGATCAGTGTTTCGGGGGTGTTTGAAATTCCCTGGGGGGATATTCCTTTTCTGAGAGCAACTTATTGGATACCTTCGACGGCTTAGTTGTAGAAATAAAGTATGACGATGGAAGTCTAATTACAAGTGTTAGGTTAGCTACACTTTCTTCTTCCGACGCCATATTGGTTTTGAGAGAGTTTTCTACCTTCTCTTGAATAGTTTCTTTTTCGAAAACGGACAAATGGAAATATAAATAATCGCGAGATTAAAGATCGAAATTGGCGTTAAGATGAAGCAGGGAAGCTCCGGACAGCGGGTGATTGTTATCACACCAGGTCACGAATACCTGATTAAACCGCACAATGGACCCAGTCACGTCTAGAATGTCCACTAGGATTATAAGCGATCCCCGATACCCTCTTATCTTCAACACACTTCCGGCCAGTTCCTAGCAATTACTTCACCTGGCTGTTAAACATTATCTAGTCAGCCGGTTAACCACCTCGGAAATTCGGATTTTCGTCTCTTGCAAAGTTGGAGGAACCACCAATCACGTAGACTGCGAATTACGCGATTCTCTTTGATCAGAATGCCTCTTGCAACAGTTTTTGAAGATATTTAGAGGTATAATAGATTTTTTCGGGGATAATTGGGGATGGATTTTAATTTAAATAGAAATTTGTCTCTCGTACATTGTACTCGTACGTTAGATTTCTCTGAATCAGAAATCAAGAAAATAAAGATCGGCGGATCTGAATTTCAGCCGTGTCGCTGTTTCGTTCATTATTTTCGAACGTGTTCGCTTGTAGTTTGGATGTTTAGATTTGAAATTTAGAAATTTGTAGTTTTAGATTCGAAATTTATTATAAATTTATTATATTATATTATAGAATATATTAGAATACTATAGTATTCTAATATAATATTCTGTAATATTCTATAAAATAAACGGTTAGTTGTTCAGTAAATTAGTGATATCTGACATCAAATTTCTCTGAACACAGTTGAAAAGATTGGGTTTTTTTTTTTTATATTTTCATTCTGCCATTTTTGCAGTCCGAAATTTTCTGCAAATGCTGCACCATGTAATGCAGTCCATGGATTTGATGATAAATTACTTTGATCCGGTCGAAAATCATACAAACGTAATTGGTAGTTGGTCGAGTTTCGTGGAGAGTCTAGTTATATGTACGTGGTTGACGATGATATTAATGAATAATTAGTAAAGTGCATTAATTGTCGGATAGCGCAGTACAAAAGAGCTGGTTTAATCATTAAAATTTCGTTAGGTCGGCCTTGTTGATCAAACTCGGACTGGTTAAACTCGTTATTAGTAACTAATTTTCCAACTTGGTGATTTTCACGTTTCTACTAAAATGTCAATCGTCAGTCTAATTAAACGTTAATTACCGTACGTTAACGCGACGAGGTCGAAAATAATCGTTTCCTTCCTGATTTTTCTCATTTAATTAATTAAAATCAAGATCGTCACTCATCACGGTAATTTCCAAGCGAAAATATCGTCCAATTAGAGGAAACTCCAAATTTGCAAAATTTGAGAGCAAGCGAATGTTTTCAAATCAAGGAAATCCCCAATTAGGAATGTTTCCGAGTCGATGATGTTTCCAGGTGGAATTTTCACGCTGTTGAATTTGTAATGAGGAAATTTTCCAGATAAATTAAGAAATTGATAAGTTTAAACAAGAATTTCCAAATTCGAACGAAAGTGTCTCGAAAAGTCCAAGAAAATGAATTTCCAAACTAGATTTCTGTCTGTTTGACAGAGCGAAATTGTGATTTTTATGGATAAAAATAAATATACGGTGATTTCCCGATATGGTAACAGGAGATGGAATTCCATGGAGATTCGCATAACAATACCTGTTGCTGATTTTCTCTCTGCGTAGTGAGTCGAGCCTCGACGCATTGCCTGGTTTCGAGGAAGGCTTGCCTCTGAGCCAGTTCGCGGGGATGGTGCGTCAACACGCCTGCCATGTTCGTTCCGCTCACCACCACGATAGAGCTTAACAACTGAAACACAGAATAGGAATTCATGGTTCGTAATATCAGAAATTCGCAAGATACAATGGGCATTACAACTATCATTGATGAGATAATCAAGAAAACGCTGAAATCTTTGCAAAAATTCAAGACTTCTTTTTTTTACAAGCAAAATATTTCTATTTGCTGTTACTTAATTTCTCTGCTTGAATTGTGGAATTTTGGGGGATATCTCGAGAATGAAAATGCATTAATGAGGCATCTGATTATTTGCAGAAGTAAAATTAAATCAATGCTATTTTATACTTCTACTAGTGAAATTGAAATTCTTTTCAAGATCGTATCTTCTCTGGTCAGATTATAGAATTTAATGAAATTAAATAGATGTATTAGATTTAGAATTATTTATATATTTATATATAAATTATTTATATATTAGAATTTAATTAACATTTTAAGAACAGAATATTTTCCATCCCCCTTTCTCGTGGTATTTGCCGAGGGATTTTCACATCTATTGGATGAAGATACACCTTCCATAGAAAGTGAGAGTAAGCCGATTCATAAGAGGGGTTCGGCATAGACGAAGGGGAGTTCCGACAGCGGATTAATAGAGTGTAAGAAAGGGATCATGAGTCGAAGTAAAAGGCACTCAAAGATAAAAAAGAATCAACTCTCCGTTAATCAATTTCATCGATGCTTTTAAATAGAATCTGCACTTGGCAGGATTGAAACGAACCATTCGATTGATTAGGAATCTACTTGTTTTTAAATTCTGACTCGAACTTCTTCATATATATTTGAATTCACCTCAATTCAGATTCAGTTCAGTTTGAGCCCATCACTAAAATGTAGCCTGAGAAACTTCTCTAGTGATATTGCGGCTAGGGATTATACATTTCTTTAGGACATGTGTCTGATCTGAAATTTTGTATCTAAATGTTCAATTTCCAAATGCTAAATATTGAATACTTAAATAATCGGTATCCAAATAGTCATTATTCAAATCTGAAAATATTTAATTGTTCAATATTTAATATTTAATATTCTATTTGATAGTAGATTTATTCTTTGATATTTATTGAATATTTAAATACCTATATCTAGCCAATATTTAAATCTCCAAATATCTCAGCATTCAATTTTTAAATGGCCAATATTCAAATCACCAAATATCTCAGCATCCAATTTTCAAACGGCCAATGTTCAAATCTCCAAATATCTAGATATCTAATTTCCAAATATTCGAGTATTCAAATAGTCAGTGTCCAAATGGCCAATATTCAAGTTTTCAAATATCTGAATATCCAGTTTCTAAATATTTAAATACTCAATATTATATTAATTATATAAATATTTAAATATTCAAATCACCAAATATTTCAGCATTCAATTTCTAAATGGCCAACATTCAAATATCTCCAAATATCCAATATCCAAGAGTCTCCAAATATCCAGACATTTAATTTCCAAATGCTCGAATATCCAAATATTCGATAATCCAAATGACTAATATTCAACATCCAAATATTTCAAATATCTAAATATCCAATTTCCAAGTATCTAAACGTATCGAATTTCCTTCCAAATGCCAAACTATCCGACGTCCTTTCAAGTCTCCTTGGATCTAAATACCCACTGTTCGCGTATCCAAATAAATACTTACATACACGTACATGTGCAGCGAGAATGGTTCGACGCCGGGTGAAGCACTGCAAGTGAGACTGCGTCTCGATTCTAAAGGTAGGCAACATCAAAGAGGTACGAGTTCGACGCGCGCTAAATGTTTCCTGTTCGGACGCTGGGAACCGTAGCTTTAATTAGAGTGGGCTTTGCAATTTAGTATGCCACCGTGTATCGGATCGTTGGCAACTTCGTAAACTCAATAAACCGTGTTCCTTTGACCGTGTTCGTTACTTTTCTCCAACCGGAAATTTCTGGTCTGCTCGGAAGCTGCTTCTCTCCGCTCTTCTAATAGTACACGATCGGTCAAGATATTCCGCGCCCATTATCGTCTATTAAACACTTGCGCTGGCAACTGATTGCGGACCGTAACGAGTGACCGAACCGTACACAACAGTCCGTCGCTTTCTCCTTGAACTCGTCGGTATGATATCACTCGATAGAAATTACTGAGAAGCAGTAAATTTATTATTTGTAATACTGTAATGCTAATTCCCTTCACACGCGTGTTTCTGTAATTAAGAAACGTTTAACACGAGAACTGGATTCTTTTCTTTTCGCGCCTTTTCGAGCTTTCTGTGAGCTGAACTTTCTCGAAAGTCGAGGGTAATATAAAACACGGTTCAAAGGGATTTCAAAGGAGTGTTCGAATCGCGAAACTCATTCGAAACGATCGTTGGTCAGGCGAATCGATCCGCAACCACCTGTGGATCGCTGGAAGCACTTACATCCGTTCCACTTTCCAATCGACATCCCTTTCATTTTTTCTCTCCTCCTTCTCACTAGTTTTTGGATTTTCATTCACACGTGAAAACCAGCCCTACATAAATCTCGTTTTATCTGACGATTTATGATCCTTCTCTTCGTTTCTATTTTTTTCTTTTTTTTTTTTTTTAAACTAGCTAAAACATTCGTTCGTCCTTCCCAAACATTTGAACAAATGCAAAATAAAATTTATTTATCTTTCATTTCGAAAGGCAATTTGCCCAGTAAATAGATGTGAGAAATATTTTAGAATTTTTGAATATTTTTCGAGGTTTTCGCAGAATTATTTTTTTCTGTGTTTTCTTTTATTTTTTTTTTAATTTTTCAAGTTGGCATCGTTGCACACTGGATATGGGAAACAATAATTTAGGATTTTTGGCTTGTTTGTTTTTCACTTTGACAGGAAATATGTCTAGTAAATAGATCTGAAAAATATTCTAGAATCTTTGAACAATATTTTTCAAAATATTCGCGGAATTTCTTTCTTTTCCTTTTTTAAACATTCGAACGTTTTTCTTTTTACTTTTCTAATCTTTCACAGGATTTTTAATTTTTGAGATTTCACCTAGTTTATTTTTTAAACAATTCAGAATTTTATTTATTCTCGGAATTTTTGCTTCCATTTAATTTTCCCAGTAGTCTCGAGAATTTGATATAAAGTAGAATTGCGTTGCCTAAATTTGTCTTATGTAATAGAAAATAGAAGAGGGAAACACATGAATTAAACATCCTGGCGTTTTCCTTTAATTGAAATTTTTCCCCTTTGAGAAACGTTTCTGTCAATTCGAAATCCTTCGTTCTCGAGGTAGCTTTACTCGGGGAAATTTTTACTCATTTTCAACATTCAGCTTTTTGTTAAAAGTATATTTCTACTTTGGCGTTTCTTTACTTTGGAAATTCCAAAATTTCTCTAATACTTCACTTTTTATTCACACATTATTTTGTTTTATTTTATTTTCCAGAGAATTTTCCACTTTAATTGTAACTCTGTCGTAAAATAAAAAAGGATGCAAAGTTCACCTACTGGCAATTATTTTTTTATCGTCCTCGTCCACGAGGTAATAACGTTACTCAAGGGTTGATTTTGCCAGTTTTTCAAATAAACAGTCTGCCGGAGTATTTAATGATAATCAAGCGTGGAGGATTGATCTCTGGGCGAGCAAATCGACGAGATAGACGACATTTTTACGACGTTAAACGTGCCCGGTTTGCGGTTTTATAACACGTTGGGGCCGGTTAATCCCATCAGGGGGGCGGCTAATTCCGGACAGCCCTAAAATCGTGCAAACACTTTTGCCACTCAATTTCTAGTTTCATCGTTCTCCCCGAAGCTCTGCGGCTGTAATCGAATCGCCAGTTTAATTGAACATTACCGACATTATTAAACGCTTAATTGGACGCATCAGAATTCAATTTGTCCGGCAGGGAAGTTTTGTCGATCCACCGGGGGGAGGAGGGGAAAAAAATTCCCTAGGGTTCTTTGAGAAATTTGTAATAATTCAAATGTCGTTATTGGAATTTGTAAATAAAAGGTTTGACTTTAATCAAGTCAAAGTATCGTATCATTCAAAATTTTTATGTTTATTAAAATAATTTTAAAAAATTCATTTTTACATTTATATAAATTTTTTATATTTTTAATATTTACACTGATATAGTATATTCAAGAGTTAAATGAACTTTATTTTCGGATTATTAATTTTAAATGTTGATTTAACAGCAAGTTTAATGAATTGGTTAAATTGAATTTAGTATTAATTAGTGTGCAAATAGACGCGATAGTCTTTCTTCAAAATTATTTGAAATTTTTCTATTTTGTCCCTTCGAGACGTGATTTTTACAATTTTACTTTCTTTTTTTTTGCACTTTTACGTAATTTTTCCCAGTCAGTATTTTGTTATTTTAAAAAATTCGTCCACATGTCACGGTACCTTCCATTGCATATATTTCAGTATTATTTCGAAGAACATACGTTTACATAAAAATGTAAACAGAATGCTCAGACTCCACTCTTGCAAGAAATCATACATTATTTGAATGGTTCAAAGGATACGTCTGCATGTTACAATATCGCCTGTATGTTACACACGCATACTATTGCGCACGTATACTTCAGTATTATTTTATAAAATACGCCTGCACAAAAATTCAAACTTCAACATCGCAAGAAATTGTATACGTTATTTTACCATTTCAAACGATACGTCTGTGCGATTGCAGGACCTCTTATTTTCTACGTACATACATATATCATACACGTGTTTTAATTTATCGCAAAAAACATATTCGAGCAAACATTCGAGCAGTAATTTCAGCATTTGGTATCGCAAAGAAAAAAAAAGAAAAAGAAAAGAAATCTCGTAATAATTACCAATTTAAACGTTACGTCTGCACGTTGCAATTACCTTCTCTTTTACACGCGTTTCAATATTACTATTATTAAAGAGCATATCAACGTGAAAGTTCATATCAGCTTTCTTCGCTGTCGCGAGAAAATTCATGCATTGTTTCACCGTTTCAAAGGAACACACGTCTGCAGTATCCGCGATACCTTCCGTTTTACACCGTTGTATTTCATTACA